GAGTCTGCTTCTCCCTCTGACCCTCCCCCCTCTCATGTGTTCTCTCTCATTCTCTCTCTCAAATAAATAAATAAAATCTTTAAAAAAAAAAAAAAGAAGGAAAGGACATTAATCGTTTAGCCATATGTTTTCAGAACAACTCGCTGTTATTTTACTACTACTGAATAATAACATAAAACCATCACTTTGCCCCTCAGAATGTTATCTTATTAAACTCTCCATAAGCATGACAGTGTTTCTCATAATAGCCCTAATTCTGAAAGCAGGAAATGGCCATGCTTCAATGAAAGGATAGTTGGCTGTTTCTATTTTATGCTGACCTGAAAAGGTAATTCCAGAACAAGCCTAACCCCATCCAGTGTTCGGCAGCTCACTGTGCGTTTTGATGCCCTTATAATACCCTTGCAGTAGTTCATTCCTAGATGACTGGTTAACTTTACTGCAGAACCAGTGATAAGCTGTCCCAGTTCAATTATCTTCTCTTCTACCATTATTTATCCTGAGAAGTTTATCAATGCATTTTAACTGAGCCTATATTAAGATAACTATAGACTTACATGCAGTTCAAAGAACTAATACAGAGGTTGCTTGTGCACTCTGCCCAGTTTCCCCCAACGGTAGCATTTTGCAAAATTACAGAATAATATGACAACTGGGATATTGTGATATAAACCCATCTTGTTTAGATATTCCCAGTTTTACTCAGGTACATGTAAGTATTAAGTGCTATACATTTTAGGATCTGTAGGATCAAATGTACGATCAAATATCTACCACCAGTGTCAAAATACTGAACAACTCCAAAAACTCACAAAACAACAAAAATCCCTTGTGCTGCCCTTTCATCACCACATCTACCTTCCTCCCGAGATCCCACATCCTGTCTCTAACCCCCATCCCCCACTCATCTGTCCTCCCATTTCTAAAATTTTCTCATTCTCAAATGTTATATAAATGGAATTACGGCAGTATGAAATTATCTTTTCTCACTCAGCATTATTCCTGGGAGAGTCATCCAAGACGCCGCCTGCATCAACAGTCCACTCCTCCTTACTGCTGAGTAGTGGTACTCCAGGGTATGTGGCGCCCCAGCCTCATGAACCATGCACCGCCTGAAGGGCATCTGAGTTCCTGCCAGTTCGGGGCTATTACGAATAAAGCACCACAAACATGTACAGCTATTTGTGTGAACACAAATTTCCACTATTCTGGGAAAAGTGCCCAAGACTGCAACCGGCAGGCAACTTGCTGGGGCCTATGAAAATCGCATGGTTAGTTTTTTAAGAAATGGACAAACGGTTTCCACAGTAGCTATACCACAATGTCTTTATATTAATGTATTCTGATCAATGTCTTTATATATAATGTATTTTGTATGTTCTAACACCTTCCGATGCCCACAAGAGCCTGAGAAGCACTAACTGGCCCACCTACAAGCTAGGGGAGTATGAGAAAAAGCATCTAATGTTTACCCATTACCTGGGGAGAAATGCCCGAGCCTCCCTACCTCCTTACATTTTAAGCAGAAGCCTCTAGTTTAAGAAGTTTTCTACTTTAAAAAGAACATACTTTCTTCTTGGAGACGAGCCATGATCTGAACGTCAGTGAGATCCTGTAACTTATATCCCATGGAGATAGAATCATCTTCCAATTCCGAAGTGCTCAGCTCACTGTCTATAGAGGACTGGGGACTGAGAGGGGAGCCCCTGGAGGTGTAACCTAAAACACAAAGGAAATACGTTTATTATTTAGCCTGAAGAACTGATATCTACATCATGCCTAACAATTCCTGTATCAAGTCAGCAATTTTTTCCCTAGTTCCAGGTCACCCAAAAGTGACCAACACATCACCATTTACCAGCGAGACAATATGCATATCTTTTACATGTTCATAATTCACATATGCAAAACCATTTGTTTTTTCAAATTCAATTTTCACAATTTAAAAAAAATCACTCTGTACTACACACCAAAAAAAAATTATTAAGAGGGTAGATGGAGTTATTTTTTACCATATTAAAAAAACTATATATATATATATATATCTATCTCACCAGTGGTGAAATCTGCATCCCATTAGACATATATCTAAAGGCATTATATAAGAATACATATCCATGTTCACTTTCAATTAATAATCAGATATGCTTGTCTCTGGTAGTAATTGATTATTAAATTATAATCTGGTCCATTTTTCGAACAGGTACAAGAACATCACACAGAAAAGGCACGCATATATACACAGAAGCATATCCAAAACCTTAATAAAGGACAGAGCACAGTAGTCACAGGAGACCCGTAGTAACTCACGAAAGTAAAAAAAGCAATGGCTTGTGTAAGAGAACGAAGGAAGAAAGGACCCAAAGGGAGAACAGCTGTAGGAATGGAATCACACCAACGCTGACACAAATAAGGAGAGGAAGAGAACTTCATCTCACAAAAAGGTACTGTGGCTATTTCTTCTGTGTAGCCCTGGCTTTAAAAACAAAAAGCTATCAGAAAAATATAACTTAAAAAACCAAAGACACAAAAGGTTTATCTTCCTGAATCATAATGAAAATACCTGAACCGAGTTCGACATTTAATGCTGAAAGCACATTAGGTGTCTGGAAAGGTCACCAGACACGCAGGTCTTCGCTAACCAGGGAAAACCTGCCGACGACACACAAGGGACAGCACGTTGCCTCCCGGTGCTCAAGCAAATTAAGGCCGGCCTCCTCTCTGCACCCAGAGTCAGTGTGCAGCACACACTCTCCATTGCAGGATCACCCTCAACTTTTCCAGGGAAAGAGGGTACTTAAGCTGTTCTTACTGACAATGCAAGCAGCTAGTCAAGAAGTTGAAAGATTACCTGTTCTCTCAGGTGTTAGTATTGCTTTATTTGAGGTTTTAGAGAAGCTGGGAGTATTAATGCCATTGCTATATGGGCTGAGTCTTGCAACAGGACTGTAAGGAAAAGCCAGTGAGACATTTGAAGAGAAGAGACTCCGCCATCGGCTCACTGTCACAGAAGCAGAAAATAAACAACAGCAGTTAGCTACCCGGGAGCTGACTGGTCAGAGGGAGAAAGGGCAGAGGTTAAAAAAAAAAACGAAAAGACAAAGCAACGTTTCATAAAGATATCTTAAATGACTTCCATTTATCTAAGGCGGAAACATGTAAAAACAGGCCATTTGTGAATTCCTGTTGATACCTCCATTTAAGAATTAGTAATCAGCTTGATTAAAGCCAATATGCCTGGGTAATAAGGAAACCTTGTTTTGAGTTTCTACACTGGAAATGTTGTTTTCCTACTCTATTTCTGCACAAGGACTTAAGTGTTTTGTAGTAATATAAAAGGTGAGTGTCCAAAAAAAACCTCAAAATTAAAAATTGTGGGGAATGTTAGTATTAACTATACATAGTCCTATATTTTTCCTTCCTAAGATTAATTTTCAACCCATTTTGTATCAGAAAATGTTGGTGCTCTTGGCTTACAGGACAAACTTAACAGGACGACTGCCTTTCTGAATGGCCGCCCTGAGTCCAAAACAAGCCTTATGGAAAAATAATAACAAAACCACAGGAGAAGGTTACAAAATTTAATGACAGCTATTTGTGATGGCAGGCATAGAGATTAACTGGTGATTTGCTGGGTATTTTTTTAATAAAAAATATCTTCCAAATTTTCTGTATGGAACATGTGTTTCTTGTGTAACATTTAAAGGTAGGATGACACATACTATTACTTTAATCCTTTAAAGTAAGGAACAAAAAGGAGTATTACCTACAATGGGCAAATGATCTAATTCTTACATTTCACCTGGCCTAATTAATGTATTTCCCTCCTCCCAAATTGCCAACCCCTGCTGCTATTTCTAAGTTCTTGAGATCATGAAAAAGACCTCAAACTGTAAAAACTTAAGTCACACCAAATACCACGTACTCTCCCTTCAAGGGATGCAAATTACTGTGCTAGGAACATCCATTTTTCTGAAAAGCAATCATTTTGACATGTACTAATAAGCAGGACAGGAGGGAACACCTCAGAAATATAGATGAGGTTAAACCTCACTTAAAGCAATAACTGGGTATTTGCTGGAAATGTGACAAAACCTGGAGGAGCAAGTATACAAAGGGCCACTGTGACATGCATGCCCCAGACCACTTTTAATGAGCACTGCTAATGCGCAGTCAGTCGGACAACTAAAAAGTATTTAAAAATGGGCAGTGGGGTGAAGAGAGAGACACCATGGGATGTGGGGGGTCAAGAAAATAATTGGCTCCAGAACTGGGATTCTTAACATCCTTGCAAATATCACCAAGGTTATTTAAAAGAGCAAAACGTTTCCTCTTATTTCAAGCAAGAGTTCTTGAGATAAGTACCATCCCATTCCAAAAAAAAAAATTAAAAAAAAAAAAAAAACCTTTTCCTTCTGTAGGTGAAAGAGCTAGGCAAAGAAACTGCATTCGCAACGACCCCTCTTTCGGAATTCGCAAGTGTCCGCAAGGGGCCACTGCGGCAGCGAAGCTTGGTTCCTAACTCACACCAGTCACCTCACTTACCCAGTATGTAACTACGCGTGGTTAAGCAGCTCTTCTCAAGCTGAGCCAGAGCAGAGACCCGCGGAGCTGGCATTCCCAGTCCCGGAACAGAACTAGATATGTAAACCTGATCCCCAAATACACTGAAAGATTGGGGTTAGCTGCTTTCACACCTTCAAACTCTAGGACTCCAAGTTTCTCATTAAAATTCTATATTAAAAAAAAAGATCAACAGCTCTTTGTGACGGCTGACTTGCTAAACAGACGATGTTTGATCACTTGCCAGGCAAATTACAGTAACTGCGTGTTCTCACCCACAGATGCAGGCGACAACGCATCCCAAGTAAACAGCATTCATCTCTCGGCACAGTAACTACTGTGACCCAGACTCCCAGCACAATGGCACAGTGATTGTGGCTATGACAGCAAGATCCCGACTAAGAACACAATTAGCATCTATTGCAAGAAAGAATGCTCTACACTGTCCTTGAGCATGGAGGTTTTTAAGAAGAGGGAGGAGAATTATCATGGGGGCAAGCTAACAAAACAATGTCAGACCAGCACCCAAGGCTGTGGCGGAGGAGAAGCGAAAAGAGCGGAAGCCATTACATCCTACTTCTTCACTATGTAGCCGAAGGATTATACAATTTGTAACACGAAGCATTTTTATGGGTGTTGTGGCGCTTGAACTCATGACCCCAAGATCAAGAGTCACATGCTCTACTGAGCAAGCCAGCCAGGTGCCCCCCAGGAAGCATTCTTATAGAACATAAAACAAAAGAACCTTCTAAAGGACAATTTTATCTTTTTCAGTCAATTAATTTAATGGACTTTTCATATGAAGATAATTAAGTTATCTGAGAGGCTCAGTGATGATTGCAAGGACCCTAAAAACAAAGTAAGACAATGTTGCTAATGGAGAAAATGGATAATAAAGTTCTGAAGAGCGTTACATTTCCCTACCCTCCACTGCAAAGTTCTACCTATAAGTCAGGCGCTTCTCAAACTTGGAGGTGGCATGGACTCCGTAACTTTTTGTTCTATTCCAAGCCCTCGAATAGCAGAGCTGGGCCCAAACACCAGGACACACTAAAGGTTTTCATTCCCAAATACCTTAAGTTGGACCGCCTCCCAGGACACTCTTTTCCGCATGCTCTCTCATCCTACTGCAACCTCCTGAATCGAGATGCTCGCCACCTCACACCAGATGAACGCCATCTACTCCTCAACCAACCTGTAGTCACCACCACCGCCCCGGCCAGCCCGCTCTGAACATCACGACCACGGCTGCATCCTCTGATACTATTTAAACTGTATTACTCTCTCCCACTGAAGTTCCGCAGTGGCTCTTCACGGCACATGGGATCTGGAAGGCGCTCGGGATCATCTCGCCAGGACCCCTCCCCACCGCTGTGCCCTCCTGCCCACCTCCAGCATTTCTGGTTTCCTTGCTAACACACTCGGACAGCAAAACCTTCTATGTTGCCTCCCTCCTCTAACAAGCGTCTTTTTTTTTTTTCTTTAAGATTTTATTTATTTGACAGAAAGAGACACAGCGAGAGAGGGAACACAAGCAGGGGGAGTGGGAGAGGGAGAAGCAGGCTCCCTGCTCAGCAGGGAGCCCGATGGCGGGCTCGATCCCAGGACCCTGGGATCATGACCTGAGCTGAAGGCAGACGCTTGACAACTGAGCCACCCAGGTGCCCCTAACAAGCATCTTCTATTGAAATAAATTTGATAAAGTACTAAGGTGTGGACTGGTCCTTCATCTTTCTGCCAAAAGAATGTCTAATGGGCAATTATTTTTGGTACATCTTCAAAATTGCCAGACTTAAAAAATAAATTACAAATCTGTGAAGCTATTTTTGTACATCATTAAATATAAATGCCCCCCAAGAAAAAGTTTAATTTGATAAATGTTCCAGTGATGATAATATCCAGAAAAATCACAAAGGACAGGATAGGTTTAAGAAAGAATCTAAATTTCTTTAATTCTCCACACTGAAAATTATTAATCAAAAAGTAACAATGACATTCCTTCCATGCCTTGCCTAGGTTCATAGCAAACACAGTAAATATTGAAATTTTTGTGGAATATATAGGTCTCTGCATATAGTCAAAATCAAATTTAAGAAAGAGCAGGACTTAATTTGCATAAAAGGAAAAAGAGAAACTGATCTAATGAGAAGCTCAGTGATAATCCTCAAAGATCGGTACTTAGAGTTCAACAATAAGGCAGTGCTAGAATACATTCCAGAAACGATCCTTTTCACACTTTCTTCTCCCTAGAGAGATGGCCTTCAGTACCTAATACACTGTCTGGCACACAGTAAACAGTCAAAGCTCAGTGTGTTCAAAATCTTGGCCGAGTTCACTAATATCTCCTATTTCAAACCATTCTACCATTCCTACCTTAACACCTAAATGGTTCTGCCCAACTTCTTAAACTTATTAACTGTAATTCAATATATATAGTATCTCTGAAGACAAAAGTTAGTTTAGTCCTTTCAGCCCAACTAGACAGAGGCTCCATGAAGACATATACCTGCAGGAGCACAATGTCTTAGTACTTCCTAATAACTATTAAGTTGTTGAACTTTGTGTGTGTGAATCTTCTGGTTTCCAGCTAAAGGACTTTATATCACTTATGGCTAGGACCTACGATTGGGTCCCTGTCTTAGAATGAGCTCATTCCTACAACGCTGCGTGGCACAGTTAAAGTGAAGGGCTGTGCCAAGAACACCAGTTGGCAGTAAACCATGCAAGAAGGCAACAAAGCTTCCTCAAATTCTTGAAATGCTACCATTTCTTACAATCAAAGACACTATTCACAAAACAGCTAAGAGCGTTTCGCGGAATTTCTCTATGTCCTGCTTCCAACGGTGTAGCATCTGAGTTAGGTGAAGCAGTCAGTCCTGGGGGGCAGCACTCTTACTCTTTCTACTGGCTTCTAACGGCACAGCCGCATTCCTAATCAGGGTCCTGTGGTCTGAATGTTTGTGTCCCCCAAAATTCATGGTGAAATGCTAACCCCCAAAGAGGAAGGTATTATATAGGTGGGGCCTCTGGGAGAAGCTTACATCAGGAGGATAGAACCCTCATGAATTGGATTAGTGCCTTATAGAAGAGGTTCCAAAGAGCGCCTGAGCCCTTTCCAAACACGAGGGCACAACAAGAAGTCTGCAACCCGGCATGGGGACCTCCGAGCCCAACTCCGCCGGCACCTGATCGTGGACGTCCAGCCTCCAGAACTGCCAGCCATAAAACTTCTGCCATTTATAAGCCGCCTCCTCTGCGGGATTTTGTTCTAGTGGCCGGAACAGACTAAGATACAGGAGCAAGTTTCTCTAGAAAACAAGCCCTATCTTCCCTACTTCTATCCTTTTACCCCTTTCTCATCTAAGAGTAAGGCTGCAAAAGGCAAAACTGCAGCTTGTAGAGACCATGGCTCAGGCTACTTTGCCACATCCTCTTCTC